CGCCACCAATTTCACGGTCGTCACGAAGCACACAATACAATTTTTGATCACGTCTTTTTTGACAGTTTCACTCGCAACGATCCACCGCGTTTTACACTATCAGTGGATACACGTTCAGCGACCGGAGGGACACTCGAGAAATTGTTAAGAAAATACGAGGTGATCTGATACAATGGATCTTCCGGGGGACGGATGCATAACGTAAAATGGGCATCGACCTTGTACTTCCCAAGGGAAATTTCATGTTGGTGGCAAAAACGCTCGAAAAAGTCTAATGCAATGGAAATTTGGGCATCGATACTGCGAACTCGAAGCTCTTGGGTGGAATTGACGAACAACGAAATATAATACAAAATGTTGATCAAATCGAGATTCGTCCGTTTATTGACCGGAATCCCGGCCGTCATAAAGTCGTTAAAGTTGGCGTTGAGCTTTGCTTCGAGATCTCTACGCTTATTATTGCGATCGATCTCGTCCAGCCGTTCGAGGAGTGCGCTCATTTTTAATTACATGAGACAAATTCTTTTTTAAAAGTTTTTGGCTAAAATAAAAAGATGGATCCCGTTACAATTTCGTTGATTGTTGGTGTTGCGGTGCTCGTGATCGAGAGACTGTACGCATTATTACGCAAAATGAAGTCCAGCTCGTGTTGCTTTGGCGCGGTGAAGGTCGAAATGGATACCGAGTTACCGGATGTTCCTGTTGCAACCATCCCGACGCTGGCTCCACCCAAATAATTAAATCTTTTTGCAGATTTAATTATTATTACGCGACGTATGTGATTAAGATACTGTATGGAACGCTATATGCACTCGTGGCGCTTGCACCATTTGTTACGGTTAATACCCAAGGGGAGGAGGTGCCACTCACATCAGCATACACATAATACTGACCCGAGCCAGTATTGAACGCAATGATTTTACCGTTGCTCGCAAAAATCGTTCCATTCATACTCACAATCTTAGTCTTGTCAATCGTAATGTTCTGCGCAGTAGTCCCACTGGCTGAGCCAGAAGTCGTTCCAGTGAAGACGGCCATTTTGATGCCGACATTTCCCGTTCCAAGTGAAGTGAAGCCCGCCACATTACATGCAACGAAAGAGCCGAGATTGGCGTCGATGTCTCCATTTACATTGCGTTGTACAAGGGTGCTACCCGACATAGATGCATCATATCCCAAACTCGTCAGTTGTTTCGATCCATTCGTCACGACCGCTTGATTCGCCGTCAATCCCGACACTTGCAAGGTCCCGACATTGATCGCATTCGTTCCAAAATTACCACTCGCGTCTCGATACACGAGCGAATTGGCTTGATTGGATTGATTGTAATTTAACGAGGTAATCTTTTTCGAGGCGTCAGTTGCCATCACGGAGCTTGCAGTTTGGCCGTTCAATGTGACGTCTCCACCCACAATCAGCGAATTCGCGGTTGTGTTAGCCGGGAGACTGGCGGTTCCGGACACATTTAAGTCGTTTGTCTGACACAATTGAAACACGACACCGCCAGCCGAAAAATTACCGTAGGAATCTCGGCACACTAATGCGTCCGCCGTGTTGGAATTCGTATAATTTTTAGTGTTCATATAGCCGGCCGGAGTTCGAATCAACGTCGTTCCAACCGCACCACTGGCATTGGCAGTCATGCCGGGAAGATAAATAATACTGGGTAGAATATCCACTCGTGCAGGGTCACTCACATCAATCATATCTGTTCCATCGGGAGCACTAATCTTGCCAGTATTGACATCGGGGACGGTCAAATCACCGACCATTGTATCACCGGCCTTATTGACTTTGGCGACGGCTTGGGATGCGACCACTTGATCCACATATTGCTTGGTGACCGACGTCGAATCGTCGTAGAGTTGTGGGACGAAAAATACCATTTTTAAGACAGAACGCAAAATGTTTATATAAAAAAGGAAAATTCCTGGATTAAAAATGTCGAAGTTGCACAATTTTTACGAGGACATCCCACCCGACCAGCTTCCATCGTATAAAAACCCCAATCCGCTGGCTCCGCAACATCCGTTTCGAATGATGATTTGCGGATCCAGTGGCGCCGGCAAAACCAATTCGTTACTCAATATTATCGATCAATGTAAATGCTTTGACCGAATCTACATTTTCGCCAAGAGTTTGAACGAGGATCCACTGTACAATATCGTGTTGGCGAGAAAGTACCAAGCCATCGAGAGAAAATTGTCCAAACAATTTGGGCAACCGGTGACGATTCTCACCATGTCGGATCGGTTATCCGATTGTCCAGTTCTGGAGCAAATCGATCAGTCATTTCAGACTTTATTTGTCTTCGATGATTTTGTGAAGCCTCATCAAGCGGATCCGGAAATGAAACCGCTTCACGACCTATGGATCCGTGGTCGAAAGTTCAACGCCAGCTGTGTCTTTATTACTCAAGATTGGTTTAAAGTCCCGACCACTCTCCGGAGCAATTCATCCTATATTATTTTGAAGGGAGTGACCCCTAAGAAATTTAAGGATATGTTGAACGAGTTGGAAGGTGACAAAAATGAAAATATTATGCGGTATGAGAAATGCATGCAGTATGACTGCTTTTATATGGTGGATCGAACGACTCGAAAAGATGATTTGAAATTCCGAATGGGATTCGAGCCGACAAATTTCGAAGAATTGTAGTTTTTCGTAAAAAAGAATTTTTATTACCTTAAAATAAAAATGCCAATCGATCTCGATAAAGAAGCGCGGAAGAAACAACTCCAGCGAGAAATTGCCATCGATGTTGGACTGAAAACCGACATCCAAAACGGCAAACTGGCGCGAGTCGAATTGGATCCCGACAACTACAAAGATGTTTCCCTCGATCCGGACTATATCAAAGCCAAGGCCAAGAAAGAACGCATCGAAGAAGGACGACTTGTCCAGAAATCGCTCGTCGATCAATTTGCAAAGACCTCCGATTCCCAAACCAAAATCTTGAATGAGATTCTATCCGTCGCTAAACCATTGGCGATTTTACCGGCCGGAAATGAGGATGCGCTGATGCCGGTGATCGGTGCCAACGGACAACTGAATCCGGATGCACCGCTGGACATGGCCATCCAATTCACCCACAAATCGTTGAGTGACCAAATTGCGGATTTAACGCAGGCACTCAACTCCGCACCATCGGGAGTTCTTCGAGAGGATGATGAGGAATTATACGATGCGTATGTGCTCAAACTACAACAAACGCTGGACCGAAAGCGACAGGATTTAGAACTGACGGAATTTATCGCCGGAAAAGTCAAGCTCGGAGTAACACCGCCGGAAGGGAAGATGGAAGAATTTCGACAACTGGTGACGGATAACATTGTGAAAAATGTGCCGGTCAATGCGACGGCGGAACAAAAAGAAATTGCTAATGCGATCGCCCGGTTTTCGATAAAGCGTGAGCGATTGCAAACCAAGGGTCGAGTGGCACAAAATTTGGATTATGACACAGCATTTGCCTCTCGGTATGAAGACGATCCCGACAAAAAGTATTTGGTCGATGCCACCAAGTATTGGTTCCCAAATGCCGAAGTCCCGTGTTTTATGTACATGTCGTCGGAAGGGATTTTAGTTCAGCGGAATATGGATGGAGATTTAGTGACTGGTTTCAAACCGACTCCGGGATTAGTTCGCCTACTGTTCGGCACCAATCAAGAAATTCTGGGTCAAAAGTATGATATGCAATGATTTAGCCACCTATCAAAGTATTTTGCGGTATGTGTATGGCGATTCCGTGGATCCGAGTGACAAAGACTTAGATGGTCGATTGAAAGTCTTTGCCAAACGTACGGTTGTGGAATCGAGTGCAGAGGCGAAAGGTAAGAAACAAAGTCAAGAGGAAATCAAGCAACAATTATCGGAATCCATTACCAAGCAAGAAGGCGCCCGCAAACGTGGAAAGGTCGACCAGGGTATTAATGCCAATATTGCGGACCTGGCGAAGAAACTGGCCGAATCGGGAAAGCAAAATGCTTCGACTCGCGCCAAACCGAAGCGCGCGACGGAACATGATGGGGAACATGAGATTGGTGACGCGCCACTCAGAGAACCAACTGCCAGTTCCTCGAAAAACCAAGGAGGTATCCACGTCGTCCGAGGCCTCGGAGTCACCGGAAGGGGATCACCAGTGATTCCGTTCGGAAAGTATGAAATTTTACAAGATAAATTGAAAAATGGAGTACTGAGTGTTCGATTGCAATCCAATAAGACGAAATTGCGAGCCTGGCCCAATCGACTGATTTCTTCGGGCGCCGTTTATGTACTGACGCACGTGAATCTCCACAGCAATAAGTTTGAGCACCTGTCGGACGAGGAAGCCATCATGCTGAACAAATTATTCACATCCGCCGGAGTCACGCCGTCCCCATCGCAAGCGAAAGAGTTGGCTCGCACCAACGGCGGACGCGTTTTTGTGGAGTCGATTAAGGATTTGCGAGCGAAACTGAGTGTCTTGCTCGGTGAAGTTCAAGCGGGAAATACGTCGGTCGAGGTCAAAAACGATATTGCGAACATCGCCAATTTCTTGAACAGCAGAAAAGTATTGGCCAAGAAAAAGCTTGCGGAAATCCTGGAGTTTATTCAGTAATTCTTTTTAAAAAAAATTCGTCCCTTAGAAAAGATGGACGAATTTCCAGTTACAATCTCGTTTGTGGGTGATACCACACCCCGCATTACCAACAAAATTACCAATACGCTCCTGACGAAAATGGTTTTACCGGTGGGGACTCAAGTGGCGCTTAGTAATGCGGTGATTCCGTATTCCTGGACCAATATCAGTGCCGAGTTGGGGAACAATACGTATCAGTACAACAACGGCTCGACACTCCGGACCGTCACCATGCCGGACGGAATGTATTCGTATGAAGCGATGGATCAGTATTTACGCGCCACCATGGATTCGAATAGCGATTACGACACGGATGTGAATGGGTTCCGAGTGTATCATATTCGATTCTACACCAACACGGTGCTGAACAAATTATCGGTGGTGATTGATGGTGGATATTCGTTGATCATTCCGAATACTCCGTTCAAAGTGACCACCGGATTAACTCCCGGAACATACACGACGTCGGTCAGTTCGCAAACGTTACCGGTGATCAATACTGCGAATCAAGTGTCGCTTCGATGCTCCCTCGTCAGTAATCCATATGCCAATCCGGATGAACTGTTTCGATTTTCACCCGATGTTCCACCGACCGACATTATTCATTTGGAACCGGTCAATCTACAATGGACGCCGTGTAGCAATGGAGGATTCCGAGAGATTTCGATTTCGGTGCATGACGAGAATGGAACCCCCATCACCTTGGTCGATAAAAAGATCAGTTACACTTTGAAATTCCGAGTCCCGATCGTTCCGGAAAAGATCTGAAAATAATAAAATAATAAAAAAGAATTTTACTATTAAAAGAAAATGCGACAACAAACTGTCATCGTACCCACTCAGGGCGTCATTCGCACGCACCAAAAAGTGGGTTCCGGAGTCTTCACCGATCTGACCAAATCGTTGCTCGAGAAAACGAAAAAGGCCGTCATCGATACGGTCAAAGGTTCTAATGATAAATTGCGAGCTTGTGTGGATAAAGCCAAATCCACCATCGCCACGAGCCAAGGAAATATCAACGCCGGAAACAAAGTCCATACCGACGTGAAAAACAAAGTCGATCCCGTAGTGAAGAAAAACAAAGAGATTAGTGAAGCGATTCTGAACGAGCTACAATCGACATCCACTCGCGTGAATCTTCCGAAAAGTACATCCAATCCGCTGAATATCGGTCGAGGTGTAAGCATCGCTGGAATTAAACCGGGTCGTGGAGTGTCCATCGCCGGACGTGGTTCGACATCGGGTGGTGCGATTAATCTCATCGTGTAAAAATAAAAAGATAAGAAACATAAAAACTATAAAAAAAGATTTTTATGTTGTTAAAAATGACCGCCGATATCACCCGCGATTATCAACTGGCCCAAATGCTCTTGGGCGCCGATGCCGTCCCTGAGCGTCTGGAATCCTATGCCACCAAGCGACTTCGCCCCACCGCCGTCGTGAGCCAATATTCCAACATTTTTGAGTTCCGAACCAACGATTTCTCCAACGATTGGCTCGATATGGGAAATGCAACGGTGACTCTGACAATCAGTATGGTGTCCGCCAACGCGAATACTGCCGTGCTCACCAAGAATGGCGCGTATAGTGCGATTGAACGAACTATCGTCAAGTTGGGCAACGACAAGACCGTATATGAAGATAACTGGGGTCCTCTGCACCGACACCTGAAGAATGTGATGACGATGAGTAAGGATTATGCCCGTAATTACGGCAGTTCCTCCGGTTATGCACTGGACACCAGTATTCTTCCGCAAATCACTGATCAACCGGTTATCGGAAACGAAAATCTGGGAGCCATCTCTCGATTCAACATTCAAGCCGTGAGCGGTTCTGTCAATGCCGGCGTCCGCACCACCACGTATCAAATCCCATTGAAGGAGTTTTCTGACTTTTACGAGAAATGTCCTCCGACGATCGGTATCAATCATTACGTCTCACTGTATCCGAATAAGTCGCTGTTCGCATTCACATGTCGTTCCAGTGTGGATGGTGCTCCGCCGGTTTCGCCAGCATCTCCGACCGCCTATGTGAGCGAGATCTATATGGACATTCCGTACTTCAATTGGGGTCCGAGTAACTTGGAGATCATCCGCCCGAAGATTAAGAGTGGTCTGGAATTTATCATGTCGTAGAGTAACTGTCTCTAAATCCGGACGCATTACAGACCTCGAGAGTTGCATTTTAATCCGGATGAGGCGTTTTTCTCGCAGTCTATTCATCGCTTCGCCTCGGCTCTTTCACCATTGTACATAAATCGAGTTGGTTATCACATGGAGTGTCTTGTTGAGGTGGCTGCGATCGTCGCGGGGTGGTTTGGGCGACTCGCCGAGGCGGCTGGAAAAACCGACGACCGATCGCCATCGCCATCGCCCTCAAGCTGCTAACCCCGGGTCCGCTGACC